CACTCATCTCTGGATAAAAGGCACTAACGGTCCTGTTGGAAATTTTGCACCAAGAAAATAATATCCTGGAAGCAGAGGGGATCAGAAGGGAGTCGTTAGCATGACCAATCAACTTTACTATAACTTGGCAATCAATTTGACTACTTGACATTAAACGGCAACAGAGAATAGGACCTCCTATGGGACTGCCGCTTTCACCTCTATTAACAAATGTATACATGAACAAATAAGACGAGAATTTAAAGACGTCAATGCTACAACCAAGAGTGCTCATCCGGTGCATGGATTACTATTCACGCTTGGATCGCATGGAAGAGAAAAATGGGAGGACTTCCTGAAGTTTATAAATCAGAATAATGAACAGATCAGGAGGAGGAGCGCTTACTCTTTCTGGATGCTGAAGTGATTCCCTCTAATGGGACGCTCAAGAGAAACCTTTTGAGAAAGAAGTCGTACTGGGATAATATTCAATCTCCGGTCCTATCACAACTACAGGCTAAAGATAGGAATAATGAAGAGCATGATCATCAGAAACCAACGATTAGCAGACATGTAATTGTTGGTTGAAAAATTGGACAAATTGACTCAAATGTTCTTCGGTAAAGGAAAGCCAATAGAAGTAGTACACAGAAAGAGACGAGCCGTGAAGAGCCGATGGTAGGATTGCTGTTATGAAAGAAAAATAAAGATGGAGAGACTCACAGAAGTAACTGTGCCTACTTTCCTGTGAGCTAACTGAAAAACTACTGCCAATATTAATAATATTGAATATTCAGGTGACCACGAAGAAAAAAAATAACACTTTTCACAATCTTACTCAGGTAATACAAGAAGGTAGACACATTTTATTGCTCGGGAGTCTACCTCAAAGCAAATGGCGCCTGCAAGCAGAAATATAGTGGTGACATGGGGAGATAAATCAGCATTAAAATCGAGAAGCATCAAAAACTCTGCAGACACAGAGAGACCAGAAATAGCGGAACATGCAATACAAACTGGACACTAAATCAATGGTAAGGCGACTGATGATATCGACGAAATGTCTGAGAATGTACCGAGTCAACAGCCCGACGCTACTACTACTACTGCAACAGAGGACTTCACACAAGGCACGCCCAACTATGTCGCCAAGACAACACGACCAATTTGCGCAAACGAGGTCAGACCACTTGCATACAATGAAAGAAGACTACGAGAAAAACAGAGGGCACTACTACTTGGTCTTGATATCTCGATATGTTTTTATGCATTACCATGACGAAGTATTACTCCTACTAAACAGACTCACCGGAACTTAACTTTGCTGTCCAAGATATGAAGACCAAGAAGATGAATCACGATCTGTTTTCACAGTATAAAAGTTGTTTGACTTCGTTTTTGCTACTTAACGAGTCAAGACGACTATAATGAACGCACCCTTTCCAAAGTCCCCTGTCATAGTCGTCGGATCGTCGACTTGGTACATTTTTAAAAATTTCACCGACATCAGGGTCGGCAGCCTCAGTGGGTTTTTATAGCCATAGCAACAAGCTACAGCACACCAGAGACCCGTAAAGTCTGTCCCCTGACCAACCTTCTGCCAAGCGGTTATGATATCTCTTCTCTTGTATTGATACATCTACCTACCATCTAACCTCCTGACTAAAATATATATATTCCTATGACAGATTTGAATATCCGTCTCGCATGTTTATTTTCGATATAAGAGAATTTCTAGACTATCATCAATTCATGAGTAAGAAATTAATCAGCTTAGTTAGTTTAAGGTTGAGTTTTCCCACAATCAGATGAGTGGGCCTCAAGATTAAATTTAATTACTGATGCTTTCAAAGTCTAATCACCATTCGAAGACTGGCCATACGCCGCTGTAGCTCTTCTAGTGAGCTTCTTACATGACCCTTTGAATTTAAAGGAGAGCCTTTGAAACGAGGTAAAAAGAGGATTTGTGCAAAACGCCAGAGATTGCGGCCAGACGGAAAAGTCGGCCTGCAGGGCCAAAATGCGCATGTGACTCGGGACGAAAGGAGTTGGAAGAACTTTCTAGGTTTCCACGAGCCCAACCTGTCTTTTTGAAGCAATTCACATGCAAAAAAAGGATCATATTTTACAGTGCTTTAATTCTCATTTCTCAACTGTACAGCTTGGGGCATATTTTTCCCTCTTCAAGCGAAAGATTCTGACGAGTAGCGGGCTGCCTTCAGCTATCAATAGCTTGATGGTTGGTGAAAGTCTGCTCCAACCGACAAGCCAACAGTCCGTCGAGTTTAATGACTAGTATGTGTTTATGAGAAGAAAAGTTGGATTC